GAGCTTCAAATCAATGACTGAAAAAAAAAAAAAAAAGACAAACTGGAAAAAAGTGTTCTGATTTTTATTTAATTCTTTTCGGTGGTTTTGATTCTAATCTTGCATATTTTTTCTTTTTCTCCTGTTTTTTTTTTGTTTACTGAATGTACTGTATCCTCTTCTTGCCATGCTCACCGCTGCCCCCCCCCCTTTTCCACTCACTGTGCTTCCTCCATCTTGTCTCTACATGTGCAATTAATTTTATAATACCATACTGTGCTTTTATCAAGTGTTTTTAATGGTCTTAATTTTGTATGTATGGGGCTTGTGCATTGTATACTGTACAGTGTGTGTGTGTGTGTGTGTGTGTGTGTGTGTGTGTGTGTGTGTGTGTGTGTGTGTGTGTGTGTGAGCGCCTGTGAAAGAGAGAGAGAGAGGATGGATGCGTGTGTGATCAAGTGTGCCTGTGTGTGCTGTTTTAAGTCTAAAGGGGCCATGTCACGACCTGGTGCCTGGTTGTTGGTGAGCAGTGTGTGTTTTTTTATTTCTGGCTTTTGGCTGAATCGTGTTTGTGTGGCCAGCGGGAGACTGGCGGTGACAGTGGGGAACTGTCCTCAGCCCCCAGCACTTGGAACAATGATGATCTCCAGTCACTGCGCCGGTGACCTCTAGTGAACAATGGTAAGATTATGTGGAGTACGGTGAACTCATGGTGCACGCACACACACAGACACAGGAGCCGTCCCGAGGCTCACCAAAAAGAAGCACTCCACTGATAATGTCCTTCTCGGCATCTCTGCTGTCTCTTCTGTCCATCTGTTCGTTTGTTTCCTTTTTTACTTTTAACATTGCTGTTTTAAAATAAATGAGGAAAAATATGCCTATGTTTAGAAATGATAATGCTATGTCATATCAAACTCAGAGTCCCCGTCATGAAGGCTTTTTTCATAACTTATGTTCTTGGGCATTGTCTTTGATAACCACAGATCGAATAAACTTGAGAAACCAACACGGCATTTTTTCCCCTCAGTCTGATTCTGTTCACCATCTGCTCCTCTGTCTCTTTAACAGGTTACACCTGCTCGTTCAATCACTCTGAAAATGCTTCAGATACACACATTCCAAACTGAGAATCAAGGCTTTATTTGTGTATATATATATATATATATATATATATATATACATATATAACCACAGAAGAGTTTATTTCCTGAAGGGTATCCATCTATTTTTGAAGAGTAAAAGTAATTACCTGAAGTTCATCTTTTGATATCTCCATAAAAAGGAAGACCCTGCCTCTAAAATTGATATAATTTTTGGCATCCTAGGATTAAAGCTACCGTCTGCCTTCAAAAAAGCACCAGTATTTGTTTTATAAATCATTCAGTATGAGCGTGAATCCATTTTCGAGTCATTTCAGAGTAAAAACTCTTAAATCTGTCTTTGATTTACATTTCAAACTGAGGACCAAGATCAGTGCCTTCAACTGAGACATCACCATCCTTCATTTAAATATGCCTCATGACAGCTACATGACATTTATGCCCCAAATACCAAATATTTTTCCCCATGGAGCCACATCACAGGTACGTCATTAAAGCACCAGTAGACTTCCTGCTCATGTCTAGTGTCCTACTTCCTACTTCCTGCATGTCTAAATCATTTGTGATCTCGTTCTGTGTCTTATTTAAGGGCTGTCTTGTTATTTTTTCTTACTCAGGGGGCTCAGGGAGTTTCATTACAGATCCTTCTTTAATTTCAACGCTGATCTGCATGCTTCATTGGACACCCATAAGGAAAGCTACAGCGGTGGTAGTGGAGATTAGCTTTTTGGCGTGTGTGAGGGAGAATAATAGTTTTATTGCTTTTTTTCCCCCCCCTGCCTGACAACAACCCACAACCAATTTAGCCCACATTGACAACACATTCACAATGCACATGCAGCATACAGCACTTCATTGAACATCTCTTTTCACTGAGAAAAGAGTCCCTTGTGGGCTTTATAAACTCACACGCTAACTGGAGGACACTTTAATTAAAATACACTCGTTGCTGTCACACTGGCCTGTAACAGTCGTTTAAGAGAGACGTTAGTTCAGTTAATTATTCTGTTAATTGAAAGCATTCAGGCTTTTAGTCGCTGGGTTTATTTCTCTGCATTTGTGAAACAGCGAGGACATTTGCGGGGCTCCCACATAAAGTTGTATGTTGATAAGGGAAGTGTCCCATCTTAGTGCCCCCCCCCATTTCCAAACGTGTAACAAGCTAAATTTACCCAGAGCTTTGGTTTTAGTGGATAGGTTTACATCTTTTCAACTCTCATATGGCCATAGGTACATGGTTACTGGTTGCTTCCTCTTCTCCATACTGCTCATGAGGAGATCCCCTTCTAAGGAGACTACAGTGTAAGGAATGGGAAACAAAATTTATAGTGTTTCCTTACTGAGCTGTGGTGGGGAGATGGTAATAAAAGAGGAAATTTTATGCAAACAAGAATACCACCAGCAGGTCTATGAGGCTTTACTTAGGCACTGTGGTGGTTTGAGCTAAATGTGAACACCAGCATGCTAACACAGTGCTACTGCTAACATGCTGATATTTAGCAGGTAACAATTTCAAGGTTCACCTTCTAGCATTTTGTGTTATGTGTTATGCTATTCAGCACTATACACAATAGAGCTTCTTTTGCAGGTAGGCCTATCTGTTTTCAATAGGGTTGCTTCCTGAAATGTAAACATATCAGAATTTTAAATGTTACTATTTTCTCATCCAATTCTAATTTCATGTTCCCTTTTAATTCCATTTTAAACCGAAATTTCTATCAAATTTGTTTCAGAAATGAAAGAGTTCCTGTTTGAAACCGTGAAAATAAAGTTATCCAATCAGTTTTTTTTCTTTTGTTTCTAGGCAGAGAAAAGGTCAGCTGGCTCACTCGTTGGTCACAGATGCTTGTGTTTGTTTAGAAAGTGGCAGGTGAATTAACCAATCAAATTTTGATTTATAGTGGGTGGGAACAAAAAGCATTGCCCGAGGCTTTCCCGAAATCTCAAAGTCATAGCTATCTCACGGGGAAATCGCCATCGGCCTTTTTGAATAGATACGTCCGTAGTCCTCACTCACTCCTGCCGGGGTGAAAAGTCAACAGAACATTTTGGGGACACTTCCAATTTGTAGGAAGTAAAAAAAAAAACCCAAAAAAAACAAGGTACCCAAAGCCACGCAGCCGGAAGTTAAAAAAAATGTTTTTGTGTTGGAAGAAGTGAAGAAGTTTCTCGACTGTCTGCAATGGACTTCACGTGACAATATTCACAACTTGGAATACTTTTATGAAAAACACCTTTAAAGCTTTTGATCGCTGGACCGTTATGGACTAAAAGGAATATAAATAATCGAGGAATACACAGACAATCGGATTTAAGATGCTTCAAAGGAGGTAGGGAGTTGCCACCGTCCACCATCTTGCTGGTTTACCATGCTGGTAAATCTGAATTAGTTATACTTTTGTACGGTTTTTGTAAAATGAGCTGACATTTTGAAATGTGGAGAATTCATCAGAGCTAACGAGGTGTAGCTTGCCAATACTGACCAAAGTTTAAGCATTTATATCTTTATGTGTGTTGCTAGGCTGCTTTTCATGAGCTATAAATTGGTTGCCAGTGAACAGGCTTAGCCCCCTCAGTTGTATTTTTCTACTCCCTCTGTTTAAGCTTCATGTAGAAAGATATCAAAAATAATTATTGGTCAAGAGAAGCACGTTCCCTGTTTGGTAGTGGAACATAACATGGCAGTCAGGCCTATATCAATTCAACATGGAGCACTTCTTTTTGTTCCCAAGTATTCCTTATTTTATGGGGCAGTTGCCAATCCAAGTTCACAAACCAACATGTAGGGTAAATAGAAATTAAAAAAAATGTCAGACATGAATGTATGTGCAGAACTTCATGACAATTCATGCAATAGTAAATATTTCATTCTGAATGGCAATGGTGGGCTGACTGACAATGCCATCCATAAAGCTAAGTAACTAGTGTGGCTAAAAAGATAATAACCTCACAGTATACGCACTTCATTTGACTAAAACTGAGCTTGCTGTGTCCTAATGTTCTTGCACAGATGTAGGCCTTTTGGATTTTGTTCCCCATTTCTTTTAGTGGAATTACCTTTAGAAGGGATTGCATCAGGTTGTGTACAGAGAGGGCGAACAATTATAGTGACCAATGACGCTTTCCATGCACATATGGGCATGAGAGTATTGTTTTAAGGCAGATTTTATTTGAAATTTGTGAACCTATCCTTTAATGCTCTGAGAACACAGACCAACATTTCAATGTGGTTGTGTAGCTCTGATGGAATTCATATTATGCAGAGATAAGTGGGTACGCCATCGCCTTGTGGAAATCCTAATCTTGTAAAGGGCAGCTGAATTAATTCTGACTGACTCATGAAAAAAGGGAGAGGAAATGGAAATGATTATTGTAGTCCTGACCAGCTCCAATCAGTGCTCTGTGGCGTTGCAGTAACAAGTGAAGCCTGCCCTACAGTACCTGGCCCACATCAAAGCTGAGGGGAGGAACTCGAACAAGAAGCTGTCTGTTTTCACAAGGCAAAGAAGACTGTAGGGTGTCAGTCTTTCTCCTCTTCACCTTAAATCAACTCGGCAATCAGCAGCAGTTTGGCTTATATTAGCTCAGTATTTTTAATCCCACCTGTTATCTCCACT